TACCCAGGCACCCCTGGAAACCTATTATTAACTGGCTGATTGCTTAGGGAAAAGTGAGTTTACATTTTTTTTTCTTATAAAATAAGAAAATTAGTCTAGATATATCCAAGATGCCTTCCTGCTCTAAAATCTTGTGATTTTATGATTCTGTCTGTCTTTTGGGCAAAGTGAAAACTACTGATTATAAACTTTCTTGCGAAAACTCATCTTCAGCATATTTGTAGAATTTTTTTTCTTGTTGTTTTGTCGACCTTTCTCTCTCTTTTTTTGTATTCTCAGAAATATTATCTGGACCAAAATAGTATTCTGCTTATAGTACATTTCATAGAGAACAGATCCGTTTCAGGCCCAGTTTCTGGATGTTTGGATTCAAGCCCTGAACTGGGGCTGATGGGTAGTTTGGTGGCAGGGTATCGGTGCATGTCCCACTCTACCTGGATGCACTACTTTACAGCCAGCTTTGCCATGGACTCCACATGGACCACTGAGTCCTCGATAGGACCATTTACTGAAAGGTGTAATATTACTGGTAATATTGTGGTTTGATAGCCATGGTCCTTGCAGGCAGCCCCATGTGACAGCACACCATAGACCAGTAAATGAATGTTATTGTCCATCCCGAAGCCCACAGGCCTCTGCTGAGATGAATTGTTAGCAAACTCTCCCTGAAATCCCTTACCAGAAAGTGCTCTAGGGAATGCGAAAGATTACAGTCATTACCCCGATGAAAAGCGGAGCTAATTTTGCCTGGATCTGACCCTCTGGTTCCAGGGAGTCTAGTTATTCCAATCCTGTTACTAAGAGGACACGCTCTAATGACCGCATCGAGAGTGCGATTAGCCGCTTATGAGGTGCGGCCCTCCAGCATTTCCTTTAGAGCGCACTGATACTTCCCTGGAATTCATTCATTCATTCATTCATTCATTCATTCATTCATTTAATAGTTTATTGTCAAGTTTCCATATAACACCCAGTGCTCATCCCCACAAGTGCCCTCCTCCGTGCCCATCCCCCCTTCCCACTTCCCTGGAATTGAAAACGCCTTCTGAAACATGGGGCCTTCTATGCTTTGTCACTCATCCCTGCTTTGTTGCTAGTCAGTTGTTGCAGCCAGAGTAGGAGGCCAGGCAGCGTCAAACACAGGAGTCTGCAGCAGGCACACAGCAGGAGCCACACGGGGAGAGGACGGGAGGACAGGTGCCGGCACCCAGGAAGCAGGCGGGACAGTGACCTCACAGCAGCGGACCAGGAGAACACAGGCAACTACCTGCAGAGCAAACTCATGAGCTTTCATGTTCTTTCCAGAGCTTTCTTCTTTGTTTCTGTGTGACTGGCAGACACCCACGGTTACATTTGATAATAGTATTACTTTCTTCGTTACCAAGGCAGTTATATTACTGAAACCTGGTGAAATATTATAAAGGCAACAGCCATTCTGTGCCCCTTAAAGAGGCCTAGTGAAGGAAAATAAATTCTTAAGAAGAAAAGCGATGAAAATTTAGATCAAGGTTGCTCAGTCCTAAATACTGCTGTCTTCGTGATGCAAAATGGACTTGGCAGGCAGAGGGGGAGGAATTTGGAGTCCTAGTTTTAGTTAAACTATGGTTTCAGCACGTGGATAGAAGTAGGGACTTGGGGTTAATTAAAACTGAAACGACTTGGCAGTATCCACTTAAGTAATAGCTGTCAGGGTGCCTGGGTAGCTCAGTCGGTTGAGCATCTGACTCTTGATTTTGGCTCAGATTGTGATCTTGCGGTTTGTGGGATCGAGCCCTGCATTGGGCTCTGTGCTGACAGTGTGGAACCTGCTTGGGATTCTCTCTCTTTCTCTTTCTCTCTCTCATTCTCCCCTCCCTACCCTCCCTTTCTCCCTCTCCCCCTATCCCTCCACCACACTGTCTTTGTCTCTCAAAATAAATAAAAACTTAAAAAAAAAAGTAATAGCTGTCAAAGGGTCTGGCATTTCCTGAGGAGGAGAGGGAGCTGATAGTTTGGAAAATTCTCCCTGCCTCCAAATAGCTAATCCTCAGAAGTCCCTTTGTTAAAGTCATTACTGCCTCCTGAGAAGGTAATTTAAAAAGAAATAGGCTTGCTTCAAAGGCAGCATGCAGAGTGTAGCACCCTGAATGGTCACTTGTCAAGATTTCTCTGAGGAAACTTACCCCATCCCAGGTCCTTTGATGGCTCTAAATGGCAGAAGTACTCAGCACCCTGTGACATTGTTCTTCAGGAGTTTCATTGATGTACACCAACGTGTGGAACTTGAGTGAAGTTTGGACGGCAGGTCAAGAAAGGATTTGTATGTTGAAGTATCAGCACAGAAAATGCATGTAGTGTATTAATCATACTTTATTCTTTGTAAGTGATCCTATTCCTCATTCTACACCACTAGAACTTTCTTCTTTTTTACAACCATTTTTCTTTTTAGTTTTTCTTCACTAAAGTTGCCTTGCCCTGACTTGCTCACTCTATTATAAAAGACCTATTTATAACACATATAGCTTTGTTAGGATTGGAAATTCTGACTCATCCATTCCCACTTTTAATAACTACCTAGGCTGAACATTTGCCTCTTGACAGTGCTCAGTTTTTGCTGTGGGAAAGAGAGAATGGCCAAATGTTAATTCTAAGGTGCTATTAAGAGCTAGAAATTATTTTGCGAGTGGTAATATGCTTAGTTGGTATCTCTGAGAAGATTTCCACCCCTTGATATGTGTTCTCACATGTAAAATAATAGTGATAATAACATTTAGTGAGAACCTGCTATGTACCACAGAGTGTACCTTCTTTACATGTCTTGACACACTTAATTTTTCCTTTAGGGAAAACCCTATTGGCATCACCTCTAGGGAAGGGCCAAGTGGCTAGTGATCTGGGTTCAACACATGGACCAAGAGTTAAAGGAGGGGAGACTGTGGTGGATGCCCTTTGGGATCCAGCTGCCCTGCCGTGAGGTTGTGTTTTGGGAACAATGGCTAGGCATTTGAGAATTAAAGAAAAAAAACCCACCTTGAAATGCAAATGTAGGGAAGCCCTGTGGCCATGACTGATGTGGTCCAGTCTGGATGTCACCTAGGGGATAGCTGTCTTTTAGCTAGTGCAGGACTCTGCCAATGAACCCAGCTATGGTGCTAGTGGACTGAGGGGGCTACTCAGTCTCTCCTTCTAGTATTTGGGGGAGAAAAATGACCCTTGAATTGGATTGTGAAAGCCCTTATACGGGTGCCTGGTGGCTCAGTTGGTTAAGTGTCTGACTCTTGGTTTCGACTCAGGTCATGATCTCAGTTTCACGGGTCCAAGCCCCACATTGTGCTCTGTGCTGACAGCTCAGAGCCTGCTTGGGATTTTCTCTCTCCCTCTCTCTCTGCTCCTACCCAACTCATGCTGTCTCTATCTCTCTCAAAAAATAAATAAATAAATAAATAAATAAATAAATAAATAAACTTAAAAAAAAAGAAAGTCCTTGGAATTCTCAAACAGTTCAGGATTAAGATGGGATGCCATTTTTAGAAGATGCTTGGGGCTCCTGGGTGGCTCAGTTGGTTAAGTGTCTGGCTCTTGGTTTTGGCTCTGGTCATAATCTCACAGTCCTGTGAGTTCAAGCCCTGCATGGGCTCTGTGGGGGCAGCACAGAGCCTACTTGGGATTCTCTCTCTTGCCCTCACTCTCTGCCTCCCCCCCCCCCCGCTTGTACTGTCTCTGTCTCTCTCAAAATAAATAAATAAACATTTCTATGGGTCATTGCCTTTTCCAGAAATCTCCAATGAGTTAAATTCCTTACACCAGCTTCCCATGTTCCTCTGGTTGTTTTCTGGGATCCAATGTAGATCTCTTGTTGGATCGAGTAGTCTCATTTCTGTTTCCCGAATATGCTATTCTTCTCGACTTGAAGCTTTCTTCATGATTTATTCTGTGGCCTTTAAAAGGAATATCTCTTCCCCTCCCTTTATCCAAATTATACTTTCTCCACTAGAACCTCCATGCCCTTCGTGAAGCTTTTTAATGTGTATGTATCTCTTCTTTCTGTAAATTCCTGTTGCATTTGCTATCTACATCTTTCCGTGAGAATAAAGTGCTAATTACCATTAATTACCTATCCTATATATTTATATCCTTTCACCTTAACAAAGCTTTACATTCTGAGAGAATAGGACTACAAGACTTATCATTTCTTTTGTACTCTCCGTAGGGTAACTTTGATCAAAGGAAGGAAAACCATGCATTGAGTCAGAAGACCTGAATTTCAGTCCTGGCTCTGCCATTTCCTAATTGTGACCTTAGGTGACTTTTTCAAGCCTTAGCTTCTTCATCCATAAAATGGAGTTAATGATAGCTATCTCACAGGGTTACTGTGAATGTTAAACATCATAAGATATGTGAAATTAAATGTGCAAAGACAAGACACATGTAAATTATTAAGACTATATGCTCATAGGAGCGTCCGACTTTCGCTTAGGTCATGATCTCGCGGTTTGTGGGTTCGGGCCCCGCGTCGGGCTCTGTGCTGACTGCCAGCTTGGAGCCTGGAGCCTGTTTCAGTCTGTGACTCCCTCTCTTTCTGACCCTCCCCTGCTCACGCTGTCTCTCTTTCCTAGAAATAAATAAAACATTTAAAAAAAAAAAAAAAGACTATATGCTCATAAAATCTTTTTCAAATGAATGACACAACCCTACTTTTCTAACCACAGCAATTGATAGCACTCCAGTTCCTTTATTAGGGATGCCAGAATATCTCAGAGTACTTTGACTTCATTTTAAACTTCCCTTTTAACACCATGAGCTTCCTTCTCAGTATCTTTTGCTTTCCTATGCAGCCTGGGCCCTCTTGTTAGTCATACCAAAGAGGTGCTGTCAACTTTGAGTCCTCTCCCCGCTGATCTCCTATATTTCGAGGCTTGCTGTATTTGTTACCTATGGCTGTGTAGCACATCACTCCAAAATTTAGTGATAGTTAAAATAGTAATAATCATTTATTATCTTTCATTGTTTTGTGGGTCAAGATTTTAGGAGCATCTCATGATATTGCAGTCAGATGTCAGCTATGGCTCCCATTATCTGAAGACTTAGCAGGGATTGGAAGGTCCACTTCCAAAGTGGTTTACTCATATAGCTATTGGCTAGGCAATATAGTTCCTCTCCCTATGGGCTTCTTCATGGGGCTGTTTGAGTTTCCTCATGGAATTATAGGGGAGGAAAAATCTTTCTTTCTTCTACCTTTTTAGGTTCTCAGCTGGGGCCCCTGTAACAAAAGACAGATTAGGAGAGAAAAACAAACAAAAGTTTATTAACATGTATATCTCATATATACATAGAAAAAATGGGGAGATAAGTAATACAAAGGAGGGGATAGAATTTGGGTTTAAGCTTTTTTATTTACTTATTTTGAGAGAGAGAGAGGGAAAGAGCAGGAGAGGGGCAGAGAGAGAAGGAGAAAGAATCCCAAGCAGGTTCCACACTGTCAGTGCACTGCCTGAAGTGGGGCTTGAACTCACAGTGAGATCATGACCAGAGCTAAAGTCACTCAACCAGCTGAGCTGCCCAGGTGCTCTATAATTTGAGTTTAAATACAATCTTCAGCTTGAATAGGACAAAGGTTTGGGGGAGGCCAATTATGGGAAGATGAATGGAAAAGTACAGTAAATAAGAGTAGGGTTTATTATGCAGATTTAAGTGTCTTCTCCATGGATAAGAGTGTGATTTCGAATAATACTCTTCCTGGTTGCAAATAGAGAGACATCTTTACAAATGGAGATTTTTTAAATAAGTATTCATTTGCCTTACAAAAGGGTAACTTCTACTCTGTTTTCAGAGTTTCTCTTTTGTTTACTCTTTCTCAAAACAATTCTTATGCCAAAGAAGCATGTTTTGGGGGTGGTGCTTTGTGGTCTCCTACTCTATGATACCTGGCTTCCCCTAGAGTGAATGAATCAAGAGAAGCTGAAATGCTCTTTTATGACCTGATCTTAGCAGTCACACACTGTCACTTCTGCCTTGTTGTATTGATGACACAGGGACAGACATGATTCAGTATCAGGGGACTATGTAAGACATGAATACATGAAGGTGAGGGTCAATAGAGGCTGTCCTTGAGACCACTTACCAATGGTTTATGTCTCTCCCATTTAAGGGGTGCCTGGGTGGCTCAGTTGGTTAAGTGTCTGACTTAGGCTCAGGTTATGATCTCGTGGTCTGTGAGTTCAAGCCCCACATTGGGCTCTGTGCTGACAGCTCAGAGACTGGAGCCTGCTTCAGATTCTGTGTCTCCCTCTCTCTCTGTTCCTCTCCCGCTCACACATTCTCTCTCTCTCTCTCTCTAAAGGTTAAAAAATTAAAAAAAAATTTTTAAAAATATATTGATCTCCTTCCACGAGACCCCGGAATATCATGCTATTACCATATCAGCTCAAAGTCCAGAAAAGCATCATTTAAGTCACATCTGAGTATAGCTCCTTAATATTTCTTGAGATCTGAAGACCTGTGGACTAAAGAGATAAGTTTTCTGTCCCCTCTAATGCCTAGTATCCAACAATTATGGGAAAGGTGTAGGCTAATAGCAATAATAGCTAATTAGCAATAGCTAATAGCCTGCAATAAGGGGAGAAAATAGGCATCTCACAGCAGTCAGTGGTCTATGGCAATGCTGTAGTCTAGCTAGTCACATGTTGCTAGTTCCCTGATCAGGACTCAACTCTACTGCCTGGGATGGATTCCCAAGGCTCTCACCTCTGCTCTGTGGGCTCCTGATTCTACCCTCTGAGTCTTCCTTTTTCATAAGAAATGACTAGCATTTGCAGCTGAGTGGTTTTTTTCAACCTGCTTCTAGCTCATAGTGTTTGGGGGATTCACAGACCTCTTTGTACTGTCTTTGACTCATAAATCCAAGAAGATATAATTCTTCTTAAAATTTTTGTAAGTTTTTAATGAATTGATTTATAATCCAGTCTATTAGACGGAAGCTACACAAATACATCTTTCAAGATAGGCCTCTCTTCACCTTGATCTTCCTACAAGGTTACTGAGACATGTCAACCAGAAGATAAGGCAAATGAGTGTCTATTTAGGATGAAAGAATTGCAATTCAGAGAACACAGATTCAGGTAGCTACCTAAATAGCTTTCCTGCTTATAGGGTGAAAGCAAAGGGGTTTTTATGAGGAAAAGGGAATAGGTTTTGGGGGGAACTACAGAAGTTAAGAAGAGGGAAAAAAAAAAAAAAGGTTTTCTATGTGTGTTCACAAGCTAATCTACTCTGGGTTAACATTGACTGACTAGTGGTTTTATCTTCAGAAAGTCCACAGCCATCATCAGTCTTGTGATCAGGATGTCCATTCTGCTGATTTCTCAAACAATTGCTTAAAACAATTGCCATTTTGCCTGGTCCACAGGTTTTGGCCTAGATCAAGCAAAGATGGATAAGGCAGTTTTTCTACAGTGGCTTCTCTGACTTTATTTTAAAATGGCCCTAGTCATGTCAAATTTTCACTGAGATATCACTTTTAAGAATCTCTGAGGGATTTTTGCTTAAAGGAGCAAATTTGTGCTTCTTGGTCTTAGACTTAGAAGACATTTTTTTTTTTTTTTTTTGGTCTGACTGAGTGGTTTTTCCAGGTACTGCCTTGGATCTTTCTAAGGTCTTAAGAAAGGGTCTGATAGTTCTCCACTGGATTTGATCTTTGTCTTGAAGTCATTTCTGTCTTTAAAAAATTTTTTAAATGTTCATTTATTTATTTTTGAGAGAGAGAGAGAAGGGGAGGGGCAGAGAGAGAAGGAGACACAGAATCTGAAGGAGGCTCCAGGCTCTGAGCTGTCAGTGCAGGGCCTGATGAGGGGCTCGAACCCATAAGTAGTGAGATCATGACCTGAGCTGAAGTCAGATGCTTAACCGACTAAGCCACCCAGGTGCCCCATGCAGTCATTTCTTCACTTGAGAATCTTAGAAGGGCTGAGAGTGGAAAGTTTCTTTTTTGAACTCAGCAAGTCTTGGCTTCTTTACATGTAAGTGCTTTTGTTCAGCTGGTCTTTCCTCCTACATCTTACTATAAGGAGCAGAAAGAAAGCAGGTGGCCATCGTAGCACCCTGTTGGGAACCTCCTTAGCTAGATCATCTAGCTCATTAGATACATTTTCTACCACTAACATTTCTGCCACTACATAACAAGGACACTCTTTCCTCCAGCTTTCAGTAACATTTCTCACACTTTCTTTTTTCTTTTTCTTTTAAAAATAGACTTTATTTTTTCTTTTCTTTTTAAAAGTTTATTCATTTTGAGAGAGAGAAAGAGAGGGCATGTGTGCATGTATGTGCCTGGGATAAGGAGCAGAGAGAGAGAGAGAGAAATCCAAGCAGGCTCTGTGTTGTCAGCACAGAGCCTGATGTGGGGCTTGATCTCATGAACTGTGAGATCATGACCTGAGCCAAAATCATGAGTCAGATGCTTAACTGACTGAGCCATCCATGTGCCTTCAAAATAGACTTTATTTTTTAGAACCATTTTAGGTTCACAACAAAACTGAGTAGAAAGTAGAGTTCTCAGCCACTCCACCCTCACACAAACACAGCTTGCCTACTATCAACACCCCACACTGCAGTGGTATCTTTTCTTTTTTTTTTTTTATGATTAATGAGTCTACATTGGCACATTATCACCCAAAGTTCATAGTTTATATTAGGGTTCACTCTTGTCTATTCTATAGGTTTTATCAAATGTATAATGACATATAGCCACAATTACAGTATCATGAAGTGTAATTTCACTGCCCTGAAAATTCTCTGTGCTCCATCTGTTCATCCCTCCCTCACCTGTGGCAACCAGTGATCTTTTTACTGCCTCCACAGTTTTGCTTTTTCTAGAATATCATATAGTTGTAATCATTCACTATATAGACTTTTCAGATTGGCTTCTTTCACTCAGTGATATGCATGTAAGTTTCCTCCACATCTTTTCATTTCTTTTTGGTGTGGCATAGTATTCAGTTGTCTAGATGTACCACAGTGTATCTACCCACTCACTGACTGTCTTTTAAACCCTTGCTAGAGCATGTCAAGCTTTCATTAGCAGTATCTTCCAAGTTGTTTAGGTTCTCACTAACGTTTTTCTCAAGGTCCTTCCAGTTTCTGCCTCTCACTCCATCTCAAGCCACTCACTCACATTTAAAATTTTTGTTACAGTAGCAACCATTTCTAGGTATCTAAATCTGTATCAGTTAGAATCTGATCCAAAAACCATTATCTATCTCTATGTCTGGGTCATGTCTATGTCCTATGTGCATATCCACATCCTCAGCCATATCCATTCTATATCTATATCTGCATCAGTATCCATATTCATCTATCATATGTATCATCTGTATCTATCTCAATGTCCTTTGTATATAAAAGTCAACATACACACATAGTATAAAGGAATTTATCTTAAGGATTTGACTTCATGTAGTTGTGATTGCACAACTTATATGGTCCTGAAGATAATTTAGCCCTGAATCAGTTCCTTCCAGACTCCTTTTAACTCAGGTGATGGGCATATCATACAAGAAAAGCTGGCATTCTTTATCATAGAACTAAACATGCACCTGGCCCAGGATTTGCAGAAGCTGAAGTGAGAGATCTATCAGGAGCTGGAGAAGTTTGTGCACTTGGCTCCTGGTCTGTGCCACCCAAGGGAAGGGCACAGAAATACAGTGTCCAGGAGCTGCATCAGCCTGGCACTGACCTTCCTGGCACAAAAGGAAGATGACTGCTTCTCCTCTTTCACCTTTCAAATGTCATACAGATGTCTCATGTGCTCCAAACTCACCTAGTACTGTGTAGAGAAGGGGATTCTGGGAAATTTTGCTAAGTTGACATAATACATATCCACCACACTTGTCTTTTCCCTACCCCATACATTCTTTGTTTCTTTTTATTTAAAAATTTTTTAATTTTCATTTATTTTTGATAGACAGAGAGTGAGAGAGAGAGAGCTGGGGAGGGGCAGAGAGAAATGGAGACATGGAGTCCAAAGCAGGCTCCAGGCTCTGAGCTGTCAGCACAGAGTTGAACGCAGGGCTCAAACCCATGAACCGCGAAATCATGACCTGAACTGAAGCTGGATGCTTAACCGACTGAGCCACCCAGGCACCCTTCTTTATTTCTTTTTAACTGTAAGATGAGATGCAAAATTTTTGCATATTGCATTTAACTAAATTCAATGAATCTTTGTTATTATAGGACAGGCTTTAAAAACGTTGAAGTTTTGAAGTTTTCTTGAACTGTTTGTTCGACTTCTATTTATTCCTCATTGAATTTGCTACAGAGATGTTTTCCCTTATTATCGCCTCATGCTTCTCTCCTGTTACTGGTGATAATTAAGATGAAGGGATATAGGCTAGATTGGTGGTTCTCATATCTTAGAGTGATTGAGACTCAGCTAGAGGCCTTATTCATACAGAGATTGCTGGGTCTCACCCTCAGGGTTTCTAATTCAGCAGGTCTAGGGAGACGAAAAGAATGTCCTTGTAACAAGTTCCCATGTGATGCTAGACTGCAGGAGTCTTAGCAGTGAGCTAGCGATGGGGATGGAGATTGAACCGGGGTGGGCTGAGCACAGCACTATGGTAATAATGGGGCTTGGGGAAGAGATTCTGTGTTTTAAATATCTGGATGGTTCCCTGGGTCCTGGTGTCACACACCTTGCCTGCTACAGCTAGGGTTAGCTCTATGGGTTTCTAAAAAGATCTTGAAGCTATTCCACATATATTTTGGTTTTAATCAAAAAAACCCAAAAACCAAACAAACAAAAAAACAACAACAACCCAAATAGACACACACAAAAAACAAACAAACAAGACATACTTGAATGAAAATATATCCAGACTTTTGATGAGATGGTGAAGACATGAGGAAAAGAAGTTCAAATCTTGCCAACTTGGTGTAACCATCTGGAGATTAATTTGCTGTGCAGCTGTTTCATGTTTGTGGCAGCCTGTGTCAGTCCTGGAAATGCTGCAAATCCATGGGGAAATCTTTCATACATTAAAGGAAATTATTTTTCTAATTTTTACTCAAATGTGGGCAAAAATATTTGCTCTGATCGCACCTAAGTTTCCCATCCGTACTTGAGCCTCTTGCTTCTCTGACATGAAGTAATTCTGATGTGAGTGAGCAAGAAGCAGTTTTCAGCAAAAGACACAGACAAATATAAAAAAGCTTTAGAGTGGCTTTACCTGCTAATGAAAATGACAATAGACTCAGGAGTCAGGAGACAAGTTCTAGTTCCAGGTCTGCAATTAACATGCTGCAAGATTTGGACAAGTTCCTCGCATGATCTGGTCTCAGTTTTCTGGACTGTAAAATAAAGCAAATGGATAAGATCATTCTAGAGGCACTCAGTCTAAAATTCAATGGTAATTTTTTTTTTAAATGTTTTATTTATTTCTAGGAGAGAGAGAGAGACATCATGAGCAGGGGAGGGTCAGAGAGAGAGGGAGTCACAGACTCTGAAACAGGCTCCAGGCTCTGAGCTGGCAGTCAGTACAGAGCCCGACGCGGGGCTCGAACCCATGAACCGCGAGATCATGACCTAAGTGAAAGTCGGACGCTTAACCGACTAAGCCACCCGGGCGCCCCTCAATGGCAATTTTAATGGGAAAACAGGTTCATTAAGTAACAGGATCACTATCTTTATTCTGAGAAATAATACAGATCCATATTAGAAATGAACAAATTTGAAAAATAGATTGAAATGACCCATTGTATCTTCAGAACTTCAATCAGAGTCTTAAAGGACAAACTAATCTTCTAACTGATTTTAGGTGAGTTGAACTTTTTGAGGAAGGTTGAGAGGGCTGGTTGTGTTCCTAGGCCTGCCAATCTCTTGTTTTATGTAATTTCCTCTCATGGGTCAATGTCAACAATCAGGCACATACAATGAGAGCCATTGAGTTAAAGTCTCAATGCGTAAGTGACTGTGGTAGGGTCAGTTTTGGTGGTGGAATTTGATAAAGCATCTAAATTGTTTGCTTATGACCTTCATGAACTGAAACAATTATAAATAGCTCTGAACAAATTTGACATTGAACGTCCTCTGTGAAGGCATCCTGTTGGAATTTAATTATATCACTTGGTAATAACAGTTTGAAACAATTTTTAACCTAATTTATTCAATTTAAAGACATTGAAAATTTAGACTTTTTTAAATGAAGTAAATGGTATTATTTAATGGTTCTGAGAATGGATGATGAATTCAAATATAGATTATTGTTTTTCCCAGGCAGAAGTAAAGATTTATAAGCAAAACATAGATGAAAGAACTCTCTTCTTACTTCTACTATCTTACACAGTGAGAAGAAGACACCCAGAACAATCTATCTGAGAGAGAGGTGTAGATGTATAGGCTCTGATGACACAGGTGGGCCAGTTCTAGAAAAGCTAGATTTAAAGGTTGCTTTTGATGCACTCCTCCCAACTCCTTTTATTCATTTCCAAACAGTTTAATAGTCTGCCAAATGTAAGGAACCTATGTGCTGGTTCCTATTCTCAATCCCTTTGTGTTTTTCAGTGAGGATATAAATTCATGTGATGAATTTTTAATGGCAACATGACAAAGTATAAAAGAACCCTGAAGTGATCATGGTCCAAGGGGAGGAGATTTAGAGTCTTTAAAATCATAGTCATCCAAGGGTGTGTGGGTGTTTTTTTTTTTTTTAAGTTTTAAATTTTTAGAAAGGGAATGGTTCCACAATAACAGTGAGCATGTTCTAGTTTTTTTTTCTTTAACTTTACAAAAGTTTGCAGAGAAATATCATTATCTTTATTATTTAAATAAAAAATAAATAACTGAGCCTCAGTTTTTAAGTAATTTGTCCAAGATCAGAAACCTGGTGAGTGGTAAATATGGAATTCACACAAAGTTCTACTAACACCAGATCTCATCCATCACACCTTATTTTTTCTACTCCCAGGTCTGGGAACAGAGTGAACTACTAGATGTATCCTCTTAAATCAGAAGCCTCTTCGTTAATCTGGACCATCAGAAAGGTCCATTTTATTTTATTTTACTTTATTTTATTTTTTAAGTGTATTTTAAAGAGAGTGTGTGCATATGAGTGGGAGAGGGGTGGGGGGGAAGAGAGGGAGAGAGAGAGAAAGAGAGAGAGAGAAACCCATGCAGACTCCACAGACTCTACTGTCAGTACAGAGTCCAGTGTAGAGCTTGAACCCACGAACCAAGAGATCATGACCTGAGCTGAGCTGAAGAGTCAGATGCTTAACCCACTGAACCACCAAGGTGCCCCTAGAAAGGTCCATTTTATTTTAAATTTATTTATTTATTTGAGAGAGTGAGGAAGAGAGAGAATGAACAGAGGAGTGGGGGGAGCAGAGAGAGAGAGAGAGAGAATCCCAAGCAGGCCCTGAGCTGTCAGCGGGGAGCCTGAAGCAGGCTCCAGCCCATGAGCTGTGAGATCATGGAAAGGTCCATTTTATTTTTTTTTATTTTTTATTTTTTATTTTTTTACAAATAGTTTATTGTCAAATTAGTTTCTACATAACACTCAGTGCTCATCCCCAAAGTGCCCTCCTCCATGCCCATCCCCCCTCCCCCCCACATCCATCAGTCCTCAGTTTTTGTCAGCATTCAAGAGTCTCTCATGGTTTGCCTCTCTCCCTTTCCCCCACCATTTCTGTCCTTCTTCTCCCCCTTGTTCCTCCGTCAAGTTCCTCCTAATCCTCCTATACGTGCACACATATGATATTTGTCCTTCTCTGCCTGACTTATTTCGCTCAGCATAACACCCTCAAGGTCCATCCATGTTGCTACACATGGCCAGATTTCATTGTTTCTCATTGCCATGTAGTATTCCATGGTATAGATAAACCACATCTTCTTGATCCATTCATCTGTTGATGGACACTTAGGCTCTTTCCATGTTTTAGCTATTGTGGAGAGTGCTGCTATGAACATTGGGGTCCATGTGCTCCTATGCCTCAGCATTTCTGTATCCCTTGGGTAAATTCCTAGCAGTGCTATTGCTGGGTCATAGGGGAGTTCTATTGTTAGTTTCCTGAGGAACCTCCACACTGTTTTCCAGAGGGGCTGTACCAGTTTACATTCCCACCAACAGTGGAGGAGGGTGCCCGTTTCTCCACATCCTCGCCAGCATCTAGAGTTCTCTGATTTGCTCATTTTAGCCACTCTGACTGGCGTGAGGTGGTATCTCAGTGTGGTTTTGATTTGTATTTCCCTGATTAGGAGGGATGCTGAGCATCGTTTCATGTGTCTGTTGGCCATCTGGATGTCCTCTTTGGAGAAGTGTCTGTTCATGTCTTCTGCCCATTTCTTCACTGGGTTGTTTGTTTTTCGGGCGTGTAGTTTGGTGAGTTCCTTATAGATTCTGGATATTAACCCTTTATCTGATATGTCATTTGCAACTATCTTTTCCCATTCCGTTGGTTGCCTATTAATTTTCTGGGTTGTTTCCTTGGCTGTGCAGAAGCTTTTAATCTTGATGAGGTCCCAACAGTTTATTTTTGCTCTTGATTCCCTTGCTTTTGGGGATGTGTCAAGTAAGAAGTTGCTGCGGTGGAGGTCAAAGAGGTTGTTTCCTGCCTTCTCCTCTAGGGTGTTGATAGTTTCCTGTCTCACGTTCAGGTCCGGAAAGGTCCATTTTAATACAAAAACTGCAAAGAAGCTTTTGACTTTAATGCTTCTTCCCACTTTTCCCCTATGGTATCCTCATCCCTGACAAATAAGAAGAGAGGAATTTATAGAACTGTAGTCTTTGCAAACCGAAGTTGGCTGATTCAGGAGGCTATGACCCTAAAAACAGATTGTGTTAGAAAAAAAAATTATGTACAGTTCTACAGAGCGCCCTTGCCATGTCTGATTAGTGGTTAAAATATAGTCTTGATAGGACTGACTATATAATTTTCAGCGTTCAGTACAAAATAAAAATGAGGGGCCTCTTGTTCAAAGATTATTAGGAATTTCAAGACAGAGACAGCAGAGCATGAAACCAAATGTGAGCCTTTGCAATGTGGAGCCCTGGGTGACTGCACACAATTTGCATATTTGTGAAGTTGATTCTGAATCCTGAACTCAGAGAAGGAATGACCTCTCCTGGCTCTTTATACTGATCCATATTGAAGACAGCCTGATCTAAAGACTGATAGGTCATCCTCATTAATAAGGTTGTAGAGCAAAGAATAAACCCGGCATTAAGTTAAAAAAATTTATTCTGCCTGATATTTATAGGCTCTAGAATGGTTAAGTCTATAACTTTGTCCTTTGTTGGTGGGGGGTGAGAAATATATTTTAATAACTGGAGAATTAGAGACCAAAATTAGATCACCTGTTCAGAAACTGTATATGATTTCATGGAAACAAAGGTAATACAAACATAAAAATACATTTTATTTATATTGAGACTCTAATATTTTTTTCCATCTCGTCTCTTTGAGTGAGAGGACAAAATGTGGTTGAGTATGCACATCACATATAGTGAAAACGCCTACTTAACTGTCTCCTGACTTTCTGGAGCTGTAGGGAAAAGTAAAGAAATGAAAGAAACGGTCTTGCCTTTTGAAGAACTGACAACTGAGCTTACATTTCAGGAAACAGATTTATAAAAATACCAAAGAAGGTATATGGCTGAATTTGAAGAAGACTGAGGATGCTATAAGAATAACTACCAGGGTGCTGGGTGGCTCAGCGGGTTACACGTCCTTCTCTTGATATGGACTCAGCTCATGATCTCATGGTTTGTGAGTTCAAGCCCCACATTGGGCTCTGTGCTGAAAGTACAGGGCCTGCTTGGGATTCTCTCCTTCTCTCTCTCCCCCCTCCCCCCTTGCTTGTACATGCGTGCTGTCTTTCAAATATATAAACATTTTGCTTGAAAAAAGAATAATTTCCAATTTTTTAAGGAATAATTTACTTAAACCAGGAGGCCAAAGGAAAGAGTGCCATGTTAGATATATGATATACAAAAGAAGGGCTTCATTAATAATTCTGAGAGACTATTATTTAATTTTTATTAAAATTAATAGTCTAGGGCCCTTATATTTGAGAAGCATGATGTTTGAAAGTAGGACAAAGAAATTGCTTATTAATATTTGCAGAATTTTGAATGTGCTTTGTAGAGAATTACCACATTCTTCATCTGAAATTAGTTTGTCTTTATGAATTAGCTGCATTGGCTACAAATATCCTGAAGACAAAAACGGATTTAACCTGGTAATTTTTGTATGTAAGTAATACAACACTATACACAGATAATGTTAGCTGAACGATAATTGGCCTGAGGCCCTCTAGGTACCAATAATTGTAGACATTTTTAGGG